ACTCATCAGGAGGCTGAACCATAACCGGCATTCGAAACCCGAACGTCCGAACTTACGGCACTCCTTAAGGATGCGTTTGGTCGTTATAGTTGAACGCGAAAAAAAAAAAAAAAAAAAAAAAAAAAAAAAACAATTCAAAAAAGTCCTAGGCTACCAGAGTGGCCCGGGTACATTTGCCCGGCCAGGCCAAACAGAAGTAAAAAAATAAAAACATAAAAAATATTTTAATTAAACTTTTTATTTTAAATTCGGTAAGGAATTTCGATATGACCCTGAAGCAAAAGTTGTTCAGTTTACGTTTTTGCATAACATTTTTTTTTTCAGATTTTTTAGAATTTTTTTTTTTTTTTTTTTTATGGCTGGGACCTTCCCTAGTCCTTGCACGACCGGGCCGCCCCCGGGAAAATAGGGTGACCCGGGCTGCCCGACTGGTAAACTATAAAAAATATGAAAAAAAAAAAATTTCTTGAAGAAAAATAAACATATTTTTAGGATTCCAAATTTCTTATCAAAAATACTAAAAATAAAAGTAATAATTAAAAAATAAATTAAAATTAGTGAGTGAGCGAGCATGTTTTCGCCACTACCATCTTTAGCGATTTTTCCTTTTGTTTTTGCAAGCCAAATGCCCTAAAGATTTACAGATGGGGACTCACATAATGCAAAACTCATTAAGAACGTTTTAAAAAAAAAAAAAAATGTTTATTTCCTACAATAAACTGAAAACAAAAAGTAAAAAGTGAAAAAAAAAAAAAAATAGTGAATTGGCGAACACGTTTTAACACCGCCATCTTTGGAGATTGTTAATTTTTGTTTGGCTTAGCAAAATGACTTCAAAATTTATAGGCATATGACTCGCATTATAGAGAACTCACATAAAACAATTCAGGAAAAAAACGTATTTTTAGGCCTCAAAATAATTTTTTGTGGGGGATGAATGCCTTCGGTTTCGAACCCCGAATGCCCGTACGTACAGAGGTCATCCCGGGGACGTCCGTACGTACGGGTTAGTGACCTTGTATATATATATATTGGGTTTTACGTGTTCTCCCAAAGAATCCCAAATTTGGGCTTATTTCGTTTTCTGCATGTCGACTGTCAAGAGGGGAGAGGGGGTATAAATTGGTCTTAAAAAGGTTGAAGGGGTCTAAAGGAGGATACCTTTGCATGATTCTGTTCTTTTCTTTTTTATTTACGATTCTGCGAGTAACTATAATGTGACCCTCAACCGAAAGTCGTTTGTATTTCAGTACTAGAGCCTTTGTTTTTTTTTTTTTTTTTTTTTTCCCAATTTTTTATTATTTTTTATTGCGCTCGAACCCTGCCCGGGGGTCATGCCCGATCTGGCGCACGGGCGTGTACGTGGGCAGAAGTTGGGTCCCCGGGCACCTGGATAAACGACCTAGCGTATATATATAGGCAATGACAAACTGTTTGGTGGGAGTTTCACCTACTCATCAAGAAGCTGAACCCTCAATAGTGTCCAGAATATATATTTGTATATATATATCGTCGAACAAACATGCTCGATAAACCGTAGGCAGAGAGGAAGAAGAGGACAACAAACAATGGGTTGTGACAAACTTTTTCGTCCAAGTTTCACCGACTCATTAGGAGGCTGAACCCTCGTCAATCTGCAAATCCCCTAACTGATTACATTGTAAGTGATAATCCACCTTAACCCCGGTTGTGGCTAAACGTCAATGACTGTCCAACAACTGATACCCTGAGGTGGGCACCAACCACTGCCCTCAAGGTACCTGTGACGAAAATCGAAGCCACTATCACTCACTTACAGTAGATGAAAAACTTTACAGGCTGTCGGTTCACAACCTATCAAAAGTCAGCAAAAGAAACACGAAACAAAAGAAGAACTGTAACAGTCAAACAATACACCACAGACACGCAGCTGACACTATAAATACATACACTCAACAATCTGCATAATATATATATATATATATATACACAGGGTCACCAGCCCGTACGTACGGAGGTC